CCACATATGATTGTTCCAGTGATTCAAATCAATTGGAAAATAGTATCTCAAGTCATGAGATCGACGATAATATTAGTCCTCTTCGATTGGTTCAGTTCCAGAAGACATCCAACGAACCGATGGGTATTACACTTAAGCTCGACGAGTGGGGCCGATGTGTGGTCTCACGGGTTATGTTGGGCGGACTCGTCGATAGACAGGGTATATGATCTCCATTGGTTTTACACACATTAATTCAATGCTTGGTCTGTATTGACAGGTACTCTACATGTCGGTGATGTAATCCGTGAGATTAATGGGATTCCTGTCTCTAATCAATCGGTTGAGAGCTTACAAACTCTATTGGTTAGTAATATTAAATGAGATGCAACATAGTTGTTGACCAATGATTACAGCCATTGACCATGGTACATTTATGATACATTTATTTAACAGAGAGACTCCAAAGGAAATGTGTTCTCATTTAAAATACTGCCTAATGGTAGACAACGAAATCATTCCTCACACTGTGAGGTATACTTTTAACATTTATTTCATAATTGTGTTTATAATCGTTTGTAATTTAGATAATTTTTTGGAGAAATTAATTTTAATTTACTTTATACATATCAAATTAATAAAAATTGCTAATAATATTATTAATTAAGTTAATATGAGTTAGTTTAGGTTAGGTTTGATTTAACTAGTTAATTCTTTAATTTAAATTGATCTTTTTAAACAAGTGTGTTTTCAAAAAATGTCATAATAAGTGTGCGTAAAAATTGTAATAATAATATATAGATAACATGCGAATCCCTTTCAGTCCTACTTTAGAGCACAATTCGATTACAATCCTAAAGACGATGAACTGATACCCAGTGTTGAGGCGGGGCTTACATTCAATACGGGAGATATTCTGGAAGTGATTTGCAAAGACGACTACTATTGGTGGCAATCGAGGAAAGAGGGCGACAAAGGGTCGGCCGGACTCATGCCCTCACCAGAACTGGTCGAATGGCGGGCCACTCATGACGCCAACCAAAAGGTGAAGAAAGACGGCGCGAACTGCACTTTCTTCGGCAAAAAGAAGAGACGCGACAAATATTTGATCAAAAGAAATGCATTTCACCAGAACTGGTCGAATGGCGGGCCACTCATGACGCCAACCAAAAGGTGAAGAAAGACGGCGCGAACTGCACTTTCTTCGGCAAAAAGAAGAGACGCGACAAATATTTGATCAAAAGAAATGCATTATTCGATACATTAGACATCCCTTCCTATGAAGAGGTAGTATTCGTGCCGTCGTTTCCGCGCAAAACTCTAGTACTTCTCGGCGCTCACGGCATCGGACGCCGCAATATTAAGAACACTCTAATCAGTCATTTGCCGCATCGATATTCATACCCAATCCCACGTAAATATATTATCACTTGTCAGCAAAACAATGCACTAATTGTTATATATTTCTTGTTTTAAAGACACGACACGAGTTGCCCGAAGAGGCGAACAAAACGGAAAACATTACTTCTTTGTGTCTCACGAAGAGATGATTGAAGAGATCGCTTCTAAACAATGCAATAATTGTTATATATTTCTTGTTTTAAAGACACGACACGAGTTGCCCGAAGAGGCGAACAAAACGGAAAACATTACTTCTTTGTGTCTCACGAAGAGATGATTGAAGAGATCGCTTCCAATCAGTATCTCGAGTACGGGAGCCATAAAGACGCTCTCTATGGCACCAAAATAGATACAATCCGTCAGATCATTGCATCCAATCGGACACCCATTCTCGATGTTGAACCACAGGTCTGTTAGTTTGCTGTCATTTTGCTGTCATATAATTAAATGTCTGAATTTGTTTGTCAAAAGGCATTGAAAGTATTGCGAACTCGAGAATTCAGTCCATTTGTTGTATACATTGCGGCCCCGAATGCCATCAATATTGAAGATGTAAGCAATACATGCAATAAATGAGTAGATTTTATGCTTTAATTATATCGTCATATTTGTTGTCCTATTTGTTTAGAGAGATGGAAGTCTTCAGCGTCTGACCCGCGAAAGTCTATTACTTCAAAACATTTACAAACATTTCTTTGACTTCTCTGTCATTAACAACGATATCGAAGAGACCGTAAAACTGGTGGAAAATTTTAGAGAGATGGAAGTCTTCAGCGTCTGACCCGCGAAAGTCTATTACTTCAAAACATTTACAAACATTTCTTTGACTTCTCTGTCATTAACAACGATATCGAAGAGACCGTAAAACTGGTGGAGAAGGCATTCAATCGGATCAACAGTTCTGCTCAATGGGTTCCCTGCGCTTGGGTTTACTGATCACTCAATTTAACTTATATTATAAATGAATTTATTTTCAACAAAAGTTGCCAATACTTACAACGCTATACAATGTAATAAAAATAATGTAAAATCTATTTATCATTTAATGCATATTATTATTTATTTTATACACATTTTCATACAAATTATAGTGAATTCAATTCTTTAGTCAAAATTTAATCAAAAGAAAGATTAAAAGTTTAAAATAGAAGAAAATTTTATTAAAAAATAATAATTAAAAATAATACCCAAACCATAACCAGATTCTGGAACCCAAACCATAACCAGATTCTGGAACCCAAACCATAACCAGATTCTGGAACCCAAACCATAACCAGATTCTGTTCGTATCGTTGCTGTAATGCATTTGAGCCGTAATTTGTGTTCAGATGTAATAAAAAGTGATTTAAATTTTCGATGTTTTGATTGTAAACAAAAACATATGATTTGTTTGTATTGAATGTGAAATGAGTAGACATTTAACTGTCATTTGATGCCATAATCAGACCATTTAGTGATAATATGAAGACATATAAACTAAATGTCCACAAAAAAGACTTCTTCAAAGGTATGTCATGTCATGTGATTTGCAATGAATTGACGAGAAGTGGTATTTCAGAGGATCTGGTGATCAATCAGAAGGATTTCCCGCACCTGAAGGTCGGAGACATTATAGAGATCTACTCTCCGGACGACCAGTTCAGGTGATATACCCTTTGCTTAGCATTGAGTGGATTGAGTGATGCAATGATTGTATCTGTATTTCAGTCGTCTCTTAATGAGAGTGAATCCCAAAGCCTTCGACGACTACCCGAGAGATGGCAAAGAGAATCAGAAGATCAGTATTGAACAGACAATTGTGTCGACCTTTCAGTTGAGAATATATTGTGATGTAATCGTGAATCAAGTGGAGAAGAAGGACGTGGTCTTGGATTCGGTGGAACTTTTCTTCAAAGACCAATACATCGCCAGAAGCGATATGTGGAGACTCAAGAGGTTTATGACAAAGACATGCGTTTATATGAACCAAAAGATCGAGTTCTGTAACATTCGGTGTCAAGTGTTTGAGATGTGGTCACAGGGAGAGAGAGTGGCCTCCGGTTATGTCAACAATCAGACCAAAGTTGTCTATCGGTCCGCCTCTTCCATGGTTTACCTCTTCCTTCAGATGAGTTCCGAGATGTGGGACTACGATATCAACGGAGATCTCTATTTCGAGAAAGCCGTCAATGGATTCCTCGCTGATCTGTTCGACAAATGGAAAGTAAGTATTGAAGTGATGTTGTCTTCACTCAAGTAGTGATTGTTGTGTTTCCAGCGCTTCAATTGCAGTCATGACGTGACAATTGTCATGTTTTCGCGCACTTATTTCGACGCCTTCTCTATCGAAGACTTTCCCGAATCGATGCGCGAATGCCTTCAACAGGACTCTAAGGGCCGCTTCTATGAGGACTACTATAGGGTTGCCCTACAAAACGAAAGGGTCGACGACTGGAGTCCAACACTCATTTTTCTGCGATACCTTTTTAACCAATACGAGAGCGAAGCCATCAAATATCACCTCAGAAACGAGAAACAGGGCCTCAAAGTGCCCAAAGCGTACAATTCTTCCTCATCTCAGGGAAATTTTCTCGAAGTTTTAAATATGTCTTTAAATGGTATTTCTCAACACTTCTTGGTTTAAATGGTTTGTCTAAAACTATTGTTAATTTTGGTAGTGTTTGAAAGACATCATTTGGACCGTAGTTTTGACAGAACGGGTCAATTATCAGTTGTCATATCTCCCGGAGTGGGTGTTTATGAAGTGGACTTGGATTTGACTAATATTACGAAACAACGAATTATTGACAACGGTTTGAATGAATTAAATATTATATTTCAATTTTAATGGCATTTGTGTTGTCGTTAAATAGGAATCGGTAGTGATTTGGTTTGTTTAGGAGAACAGCCCTTACATGCCGTCCCTTTATTTAAGGTAATGCTTAGACTATTAAAACAAAATACATTTAAATGTGTCGCAAACTAACCGCTGATATGCCAACAGTTTAACGCGAAATCCAATTTCCCGACGTATGTTAACATAAGTGATGTCCAGTACAATATGCCTCATTGGATCAATTTAAGGTATATTAAACATATCCCTCCCATTCATTCATTCACACAATTTACTCTTTTTTAGTTTCTATTCGTCTTCAAAACCCATCAGTTATTCAAATTTTGTTCCGAGAATTAAATTACCGAATGTTGTGCTAATGAATAACCAATCGATTAAGTCATCGAAAACCCAATTATATCGCTCTCCCAGTCGTGAATCGCCCTCTCATTTAAAGTCGTATCGAAACATACCTTTCGTTGATTACGACGAATACGATTCTCAGGTCTTTAAGATAGCGTCGTCTCCGCCAAACACTGCGCCCCACAGTCTGTTCATCAGTTGAATATCATTGCATTCATTGTGTATTAATATGTTATTGGTTTTCAGAGTTAAGCACCACATGTCAGCCTTCTGTGCGACGAAACACTGTATTGACAGCACAATCGTCACGACCCCAGAGACCTGTTCGTCGCTCGTCAGGCGAACACATCAATACTCCTCCCAATTCTCCCGCAAAGTCCGAGTCTATGGGAATTCCATCAGCTGTTGATTTTAGACATTTGAGTGCAATTCAGGGAAATTTAGCTCAAATGTCCACTTCTGTAGAAAACAAAACGTTCAGAGGTATGAAAACTAGACATTGCTATAATCGAGTCCATCACTGGATCTGATTATTATAATACTCATAAAAGAGTTGGAATTAATTGAAATAAAATTAAAAGATTTCAAAAGCAAACCGGAATCGAAAGATGATTTGATGGTTAGAGGCTATAGCACTAACTCAGGCAAAGATATCTTAAAGTCGAAGGCACTGATCAATCCATTTGATCCCTCGCACGTCACCATTAAACTCAACTCCAATAGAAGACGTTGGACTCATGTGTTTCCTTTGGGTCCGACGGGTATTTTCATGCAACAGCATCACTACCAGGTCTGCACACATGCACACAATTATTTCCCTCGCACGTCACCATTAAACTCAACTCCAATAGAAGACGTTGGACTCATGTGTTTCCTTTGGGTCCGACGGGTATTTTCATGCAACAGCATCACTACCAGGTCTGCACACATGCACACAATTATCATAATTATTGCTAACAATCATGTGTTGACTGCTGTATAGGCTGTACCCCAGAACCAGGCGTGCACTCTATTACCATCGGCCGTGTGTACTGACCCATCCCTTGGTGTGAGCGACTCGAGAGATGTGATCGATTCTCAAAAGTACCGTAAGATATCAATGGCTCAAATGAAGTCTTTTGAATATCCGAGGAATGCCAACGAAATGAAGAGCAATAAGAACCAGAATATAACCAATATTTCCAATTTGAGTGAAAGTCATCGATCGTCGAGTAAAATAAACCAAACTCGAAGCACTTCCATGAGTCAAAACATGTCGTCAGTTCACTCGGATAAAAGTCTGTTGTGGGCGTGGGGGGCGACCGGCGAGCAGGAGTGGACCCCTGCCATCACCACTGGTGTCGACTGGAAGTCATTAGTAATGCCCGCCTGTTTGCCCGTCACTACAGACTTTTTGCCCGACAAACGGACTCTACAACAGGATTACGTCACTTATAGTTATAATTTGTTGCCCGAAGAGCAGAGTTCTGATCGACTCCAACAGC